CACAAATTTCTTTACACATTATTCTTTCACAATGCAGTCATTTTTACTGCTTTTAGGCAATATAGGTATGTACTAAGTTTCAGTCTTTCTAGTGTTAAAAATAATTCATAAAACGTTTTAATTCAACCTGATGATTATTGACGATGATAATGAACAATTGCGGTCGTGCAATTAATCCAGCAATTGTACGAATCATTTTTCTATGTTATTTACTTAATCGGAAAATCGTGATGGAATCTCTTCGTGGACAGATGTTTGCGTATCTGTTTCCGTATCAGGACGGCTGACGTTGAGAATCTCTGGTGTAATACAGGAATCTGTCTGGCAGGTAGACTGCAGGGCACGTCGAGACAGTGACAAGAGAATCTGGCAGAGATTCAGACGCGAAGAAAACAACATCCCCCTACGTTAGCTTCCCCCAGCGACTATTTGACAAATGGACTGGGAATTTTTATGAAAAATCCATCGGAGAATTTAAATAACGGTGTTACGTAAATAGGGGCTAGAAATGCTTCTGGAATTATGCTACTTCAAATCCAGATGTAAAATGAATTTCTTTGAGTCCATATTAAAAAATCCTTTCCATTTATACGTAGATTTATTCTGTTTTCACTTAAATGGAGGAGAAACGAATGTTTCTTTAAGATTGCATGCAAGATTTGATCCCTTCAAGTGAATACTTTAAAGCAGAATACAACTTTTGAATTAAGAAACGCATTTTAGTGAACGCAAATGAAACGATTTTTAAATTAATAACAGGCAAGCAATTTTTATACCTGTTTTCAATAAAATAATTCTCGAATGGACATAATGAAAGCATATAAATGATAATTATCTGCTGGTGTTCATTAAAATTAGATAGAAACAGCGATGAACGAGGAGCTGGAAGACTGAAAGCTTGTAAATGGCGCGGTCGGATGATCCTTGCTTAAAAATACGTGTCGGCCATTTTAATCCTTCAAACGGGAATTTCTATACTCAGCTTTGCGTTTAAAACCGATTTCTTTCATCAGACTCGCTGAGATTCTGTTTATGTAAGCTGACCGAGGTTTTCAGAAGGAAACCAACTGGGTTCATACGTACAGAGACGATGAAGAGGATTTCCTGAAGGATGAATGTCCTTTTCTAAAGATTCTTATAATTATTTTTAATACAACGTAAATACGAGATCAATTAGAGTTTTTTTTATGAATTTTTAATATACTGCGTGTACGTCGAAAAGTGTTTCCTTCGATATTCGTGTTGAATTTTACACTCACAGAAATGATTAATTATTATTTCCTAATGTCTGGTTTAATTAAAACTGAGAAACCGAGTGAAAGAAATACGAGGGGAATAATTCTCAGTTTCCTTGGCCAATTTCGGATTCTTCCGGTCGAATCGAGCCGCGCGTATCCGAAACGGTGACTATAATTTTCCGGCGGCTACGGAATATCCGGCATTGTCGCCGGCCAGGTGTAACGAGGGGCCAATTTTTCCTTTCGGGGTCGAACAATGCGTCGCATTAGCGCATTGTCCACGGGGCTCTGTCACGCGACACGGCCATATTCGTAATCGATGCCGGACCTCGATTTACATTCCCACTTTTGACCGGCCTCACACTGAATTCCCCTACCACCCCCCCTCGCACTCGCCCTTCTGGCCATTATAGTGGCAAGTCGACTGAAATCGCTGAAATCGAATTTCAATGCGTCGTTCCATACACCCTTGCCCTCCGTCTCGTCAGAATGAAGCCCCATTGGTTATACAAGAATTCTGTCAATTATTATTGGTTGCAACATTTGTCTTTAACTGCAGCCATTATCTCATACGAGATTATTGAGATAATGATTTTATACTAGCTGCACCTCCTCCCCCCATCGATGGGATGTACACGTACATACACACATACTTTTCTATTTAATCTTTGTGCATACCTATTGTGTCAGCGTCAGTTCGCGCCATTTTGTGCCAGCGGCCATTAATGATGAACTATAATAACGAACTACGAAATTAAATAATT